TCGCAACAGTGGCAGTTACCTTTGCAGTGGAACTCGGTCCACTACCACTGGACGGTGCGGCTTTGGCGGCAGCAGCCTGCGCCTTTGGCGCGGGCGATGGGGTTGCACCTTCGTGTGAGAATGGACAATTATCCCCTCGGTTGCAAGTACCCTTTGGGTAGAACAAGCATGGAGCCTTTGGCCTCTCGCTGCCTGTAGGGTTCTTTGAACCCCCAGAACCCTTTGGATTCTGCTTTCCCTTTGCTTCATCCTTGTCCTTGCCTTTGGCTTGGTTGCCTTTGCCCTTGGGTTTGCTTTTAGCACTCCCTTCGCCAACCTTTGGCTGGCTCTTTTGACCCTTCGAGCTACCAACCTTTCCAGGTGCAGTATCCTTCTGGGTCGCACTGGCGACAGCTGCAGGGGCGATCTGGTTCACACCATGGTCCTGGTTAGCCTTTGGCTGATTCTTCCCGGTTTTGAGGGGGGAGCTAAGTGAATCTTTGATTACCTGCTCGTTGGCGTCCTCTCGCAATTCGTCGAGATGCTCTTTGAGCTTTCGGAACAACCATCCCCAAGTGCGATACCTACTGCCCTCCTTACTGTCCTTGATTTTGTCAATATGTCTCGACATGGATCTGCACCTCTTGAGTCTACCAAACAACCATGTATATTTGGTCATCTCACTTGGCGCATGCTCTGATGAAATTGCATTCAACACGAATTCAATGCGGTTCACAAACTCCCTCATGGCCGTGTATGTGAACGATTCCAGCGGGATTTCAAGGAAGGACGTCATCGTGAGATTCGACCCTCGCAAGTTATCCAACCTATACCTGTTGGCCAGCACAGCGAGAAGATACCGCCCTTTGGGGGATCGACGGCTTTGCTGACAACCCTCTGCATACGCCTGGAAAATCATGCCAATCTCGCCCTTAAGGTGCTTGGGTTCCATAAGGAGAGACGCCAAATGTGCGTCCAGGCGCGGCAACAAACCTGAGTCTGTTGCAAAACGTTGGGCAGCGACGTCACCGATGGAATCAAAAGCCTCTAGCAACCAGTTCAAGATAACATCCCTCCCAGTCGCATCAATGCTGCAAGCTTTAGTGATGAAGGTATTCTTCCATCCCCTAAACTGCGCTGCATCATTAGGCAATTGCGGCACGATGACAAGCTGCAAATCCCTGCTCTTATACACATCCTTCTCTTCGAGAGGAACGTTTGACCCAACACCACCACTAATCCTCGACTGAGCAGAATGCCTGGATGCAGGACTACGATGACTACCACCACCACCGTCCCCAGACCCACCCCCACCTCCTCCTGGCCTAGAGCTGGATGAGGACGTTGACGAGTCGGATGGCTGGTCGTCTTCTGAGTCATGGTCCTGGGCGGAATAGGCAAACTGCTCGGCCCCAGGAGTATCCGGGTCTGGAGTGGGCAACACGACACTGGCGGGGGGAGAGGCGGCCTGCCTACGTCCCCTTGACCTGTGTCCTTGTTCACGCACACGCTGTTCTTTGAGCTCTTTCACTGTTTCTTGAAGCCCTTGCATGGTTTGCGTTACTGTGGCAACGAGTGCCTGCATGGTCTCACATGTACGATTTAGATCCGAGTCATTTTGGCGAGGGGGATCATGCGATGACCTAGATGCCGATGCTTGGGCTGCAAACACAGCTTCCTGAGCCTCACGACGTTGCTCTTGCAATTGCTGCATCAAGAGTTGCATATCAAGATGTTGCTGCTGAACCTGTTGTTGCAAATCCCGGTTCTGCTGTTCGAGTCGATGAATGGCATGCGCCGCTTCTTGTGACGCTGCCTGGGCCTGGGTAACATGAGCAGCAGCAGTATCCTGAATATTTTGTACAAACTCTTGAGCTTGTAGCTGAACAAGGGAAGACCTTTCTTCCACAAATCGTCTGGCTTGCTCTTGTGCATCCGAGACTTGTCCCTGGGCTTCTTGGCGAACCTGATCAAGGGCAGCTAACACTCTTTCGGGATCAACCCCTTGGAGAATCACCTGATTGAGCTGTTGATACAACTGCCGTTGGTCAAACAACTGATGATGCATATGTGCTTCAAACCTAGCTGATGGCACACCACTCTGAGGTCGCACAACATCTGGCATGAGCTCATCGCTGGGCTCGCTGTCACGTTGGGACGTGGGCCCTTGCTGAGACAATGCACCTTGGCCAAATGGAGGCATAGGAGCCCTGGGTACAATAGCTCCATCCGGAGTTTGGGGAACAGGAGGATCTGCTGAATCACTCTTAGGCCTACCAGACTCAATTGCAAGAGATCTGCCTCTGCTAGAGCTACTTGATGAGGACCTAGGCGTTCCCTTTGATGACTTTGTCATCTTTCGAACCGTCAATGCTCGTGACTGATTAGTAGGGTCCATTGCACTGGCACCTTTGGCGCTATCGGACGTGCTGGATACCTGCAATGATGATTCGTTGGATTCAGGTGGACTCAAACCTGTTGAGGCCATGTCTGAGAGTGGCGGGCTGCCAACAACTCAGATGCTTTGCGATGGATTGCACAAAGTACTCAACAATCAAGGATCTACCTATCAAGGAATACAACAAGTGCCCAAATATGGATATGGTAATGATCAATTTGCCAACCCTGTATTGTGTGTGTGTTGTGATGACCCGCGGCAGTGACTTTTCTATGCCCTGCTTGATACGACTGCTCACGCACTAAGCAAGCAGATCCCGGACAAACCTCTCCAGGTTGTCCCGCCTGGGATTGAAGCGATATGCCGTAATCACAGAATGGTCCAAGTTACAGATCTCTTGGACAATGGCGAACTTATCGTCAATGTGATACAGCGCCTCAAGCTCCTTCCCCTGCCGGATCAGCTCAGCCCAGAACTCAACAAGCGCTTCGCCTTTGCCAAGTTCACCGACGGGCTTACTAGTGAAGACAACTGCAACACCAATATCGTTAGCCCGTAGAGCGTCCAGCGCACCTCTGCAAGTGGAGTCCCGCACTGCGTAACTCAGCACAAACACGTAGATGCCTGAGTCTCGCAATCATTGGATGACACTCCTCGCTGCAGAAAAATCAATATCCACCACGTTGTGGAAATCCAATGACACCACTTTCTTCCACTGTGAAGAAATGCACTCAGTCAATCCACTAATGGTTGTCCGAACCGGTGGAAAGAATGACGGCACAGGCGGTGCCGGGCCAGATGGCTTGCGCTTCGCAGCAGGAATAATCTGCACTGACGAAGATGGCACTGGCCGGGATTTCGCACTCAAGCCAACCACAGGCGCTGTCACAGGCGCCGGATCGGTCTCCGGTGAAGGAGGCCGAGGCCTACGCTTCACCGTCGGCCGAGGCGGCGGCGGTGGCGGTGGCACAGGTGGTGATGGCACAGGTGGTGAAGGCACAGGCGGTGGAGGCAAAGGCACAGGCGACTGTGGCCTTCTCCACGGCGGTACCTCTTCAGGTGCAATCGACAGCTCTTGTATTCTCCAAGGTGGGATCTCAGGAGCGGCGGATGAAGTGGCCGGCTGATTAGCTGCTTCTTCGTCCGATCCTTCCACCTCAAGAAGTGAGCAGTCACTGTCCGAGTCAACAGTTAGCGGCGGTATCACCGGGGCAAATCTCTCGGGATAGTTGCCCTCCTCCAAGAATACGATGCGATCCTGTATAGACTGCAAACGTCCCCGGGGAGATCGAGATTCCGCACCACCACCAATGACGGCTTGAAGCTGGACCGTGTACCGACGCAAAATGGTAAGGTGGATTGCTTTCAACCTCCTTTGCGCGGCAACACCTCCTCTGCCTCGAGCTCGGGCCAATGCAGCTTCCAACTCTGTATTTGCAATGGCTGGTGGCACACGATCACTCATCCACACACAGACAGGGCTTTGATCCTCGCCGTGCACAAGTGTCCACAAGTATGTTGCAAGTAAACACGAAGCACAGGCACTGAGTGTAGGTAGGTTGCAGGCGTGCAAACGCTACCCAGGTTGGCTTTCACGCAGATATATCCGGATTAAATGAAGATGTCGGTCACAGCACTTAGTGCAATGGATGTGCCAAGTACAAGTAGAGTCTCTGCTTTGTTGCAAGTACAGGACACGGGTCCGTGCAAGTCACAGTAAGATGCAGGCGGCTCAGGCTGCACTCAAGTGAGGCACGGGGCTATGGCTCGGCGAGTCACAGCAAATATGAAATGAAAGCAAAGCTTGAGTGAGTAGTGTTAACACTAACCTTATAGGCTGAGGCTGTTAACCAGTTGTTTCAAGGAGACCCCAGGGAAACAACGAACCCTGACAACAAGCAGCAACGCGCCTGTTTCTCCTTGAGCCAAAGCAAAATGAGTTCATTCATGATATGGATACGTCAACAGGTATACACATGGCGGCAGCACTCATGATGGTCCGTGAATCTTCAACTACCCTCCCCCAAAAACGGGTGAGAAAGGGCACTACTGAGGGACCTAGTTTGCGTTCAACCAATCCCAAAAAGGCATCCTCCCATTCTGGGGTGTGTTTGTGTTTACCTGGGATGTGGACTCTGAACTCCTGAACAGTTTTGTTTCTTCCGCCAGTTTCTTAAGGACCTTCGCACTCGTTTTATCCATCCGAAACTTCAGCTGAACCCGAATTCCCAATAAATTCACCCTTCAGCTCCTCTTCACTTCTTTGGTTTCTTAAATAGCAAGGTTGCTTAAGCTCCGATGCCCCCAGAGATTTAAGACGCCCTTTCTAGGCGGGGTACTGGGACCCCACGTCACCACCGGGCTCCATCAACTCGAGGTATGCCCGGGCCACCCCTTCCCCGAGCAAACACCTCCGCAAAAAGTTTTTGCGACTTCCAAGTTCCATTTCCTGCATGGGGTTAACCAAGGGAACCGGCCAAAAAGCAAAAGGTTTGACTGCCGAAGGGTCACCTGTGGTGGATTGCCTGGGATCGGGGGTGGTTAACCTTATCCTAGACAGATAAAAGATCCAATCCGGGAACCCAATCGCCAAGTTCCCTTCGCTCCTTTTTTCCTTGCGTGGTTAACTGTTCTTCCTCGCAAGGATCGACATGAGGCGGCAAATATTGGCGGCCGCTCGAAAAGCAAATCCGGGCAGTGCGATCATCACGCCCGGCATGGAGTTCACGATGATGCTGAGTCCGAACAGCTCGAAACTGAGGCCTTTGAGTCACAAGTTGCAATCTACTGGTGGTTTCCATTCAAACTGCCACTTTTGGAGGCACCAAAAACGATAAAGAAGGAACCCTCGTGTTGTTTTTTTCTGATTTAAACGAAGAACCGCACCTTAAACACCAGCAAAAAAAAGGTACCAGTGAACCGCCAAAGAGGCAGGACCAAAAGAGGCAGCGCTTGTCACTGAGGTACGTCCGAACGATGGCGTACTCGTACCCCATCTGTTTCTGGTGCACGCCCAGTACCTCTTCGGCATGGCAAACATTCGTGATGGAGTCCCTAAGGCTCAGAAAACGGTTTGGCGGTGGCTTTTCTGGATCCAGCAGCTCTGTAGGAGGTTAAAAGAGTATTAAAAGAGTACTGAAAAAGGACCAACAGGAGGAAGAACAGGTGAATTCCGCCAAAAGCGCATCCAAACCGATTTCTGGCTAAGGGGGGTAGTCCAGGGAAAGGAGTTCCCTACGGCTCCCCAAACAAACCCTAGGGAACCCTGAGGAATCCTAAGAGTCTCAACTACCCACCTCCTTCATACGGGATTCCGAAAATACGTCATGCCCCAACTGAAAAGCACTGACGCCGTTTCTACCAGCGGTAGAAGGAGCCCCATTCGAAGCAATCGGAATGAAGGAAAGAGCCAAAGGAAACCACCTGGACACCCAATGGACCCCCTTCCACTTTCCTACCCTCAATCAATTTTCAAGATCTAAGAACAGCCCAAAGCAACCCTGATGGGGCGGGATGCGAATTGCATTTGCACGCTTCCCATCTCCCACCTCTGAGAGGTACATCACGGATGTGTGGGCGAGAATCTCGACGATGACAATCCTTGCTGCCGACCCTTGCTTTTGTAGGCTGCGAAACGGGGTTTATGATACAACACGTGACATGGGAATGACCATTGTCTGCTTTTGTGGCCTGGACAAATGACCATCCTCCTGGATGGTGATCGTTTCTTCCCTGTTTGCAAATGATGGACACGCAAACAGGACATGGGAATAACTTCGGAATAACTCTTCTTTATTGAAGGCTTGGACAGGGGAAACCGATAGACACGCACACAAACAACAAGACGGCAAAAAAGGGAATCTGGAGAGTCCCACCAACATGGAACGAGAGTCCCACTAACATGGAAGCTGACAGAAGAGCCCAATCAAATGATCCTCTGAGAGTGGCAAGCTCATAATGAACATGGAACTCTGACCCTTGTCAAAAGGGTAGAACTTGGATCAAAAAGACTCAATACTGCGGATGGACGAAATCCTGCAGCATGGTGCGTTGGATGGATTGCGCAACCATCCAGAGTACCATGAAACCCTGGCTTTTGCTTTTTAGGTCCAAACATTTGCTCAAAGACACCTTCAACAGGTGTCAAACGTGGGACTGCATAGCGAGGTGTTCCTCTTCTTAGCCACCCGGTTTCTAAAGTCCACACGTGTTTTTTCCTTGTTCTAGCCACCACCTGAAGAAATACACCAAAAAAACATACAGATCAAAGGTTTGACGGTTTGGTTTTGGACAAGTCAGCTGTCACAAACCCAAAGAGAAAACATGTCTGCCAAGTGAGCTGGGCATCAAGAGCCGCAAGGTCCAGGCAACCAAAGGCGCCAAGGTCTCGCCGATGAAGGTGTTGCCTTCAATGACCGCCTGTGCCTCGAGAACAGAACCCCCCTTAGGTGGAAAAGCCCAGTAGCTTTGCTTTTGGACACGTCAAAGCGCCTCCTCTCTGGGATTGGGTGACCCGTGCGGTGGGTGCTATCAGATTCATTCAATGATTGTCTGATTGTCCTCTGGCGATCGGACTCGATCATGACCCGTCGAACGGGTCCCCGAAGAAGGGCCAACCCAACGTTTCGAACTAATGGGTAGCGGCCATCGCGGACAGGAAGTTTCAGCTTGTAGAACATTGACCATCGACTCATTAAAAGTGAAGCCTTGCAGGGTGCACAAAACCTATTTTACTCACCACGACTCAAAGGGTACTTACCACAGGGAAACGGAAACGCCCGTTCGAGAGTTTTCACTACCCAGAGGCTCCTGGGGCTTTCAATGGAAGACCCAGACCGTCCGTTGGACACCCCAGAGGGGTCTTGGGGTCCCAAAATTTCAAAACCTGGCCGATTTGAAGGCCCTAAATCCGTCGGGAGAGGTCTGGGTGCGACAAATCCAGTTGAGACAGCCCAACACCGAAGCGTCGCTTCGCTTTTTCTTCGGCTCCAGGCGCAGCGAAGTGGAGACATAGGCACGAGGACACGCGGTCGATGACCATATCTAAGTAGTAGCCGAGCCTTGGGACGTGGGACGGTCTCGAAACCTGACCAAACGGATTTGCCTGGAGTCTAGGTTCCGGTTTAGGCCAGAGACAGTTCAAGTTGCTCTGCCTCCAAAACTGCTTCCCCCCCCCCAAGGCAATGCACCCGGCCGCTCAGAGTGCGAGATTGTCATAAAGATTTATATAGCCCTTACTATACCCCTTGCAAAGCAGAACCCGCTACGACAGGGGTCACAATACAATATCAATCCCAACCGATTGCAGCATTTCAGTTGGAACCCCTTTTGAATGGCAACATGAGTCACTGCTATGATTGATCCCGACAATGGCGCCTTTCGCTGACGAAGCGGATTGCCTTTGTGATACAGTCTGCAATCTGTGAACAACATCTTGAGCAAAGGAAACTCAACACTCCTGGGAAGCTGCAAGTTGGGCCAAAGAAAATCCTTCGCAGTGTTTGCGCCTTGCTCTTTTTTCCGATGCAACAAAATACACTCTTTAAGTTAAGGCTGCTTAGTCACTTCGTTCATCTTTGCTTTTGGGAGGCGTAATTCTGACCTTGTGAGTCAGAATAGGAGGGGTCCCAGAAACCCAAAAATGGAGGTTGTCCGTTTAGCTTCCCTGCCAACCCCAAAAACGACCTGGAATCGGAGGTTGACACCAAAAGGTCAGGCCTGGTATGTTGGCAAAAATGGGTTGCAGGCAACCAAGGAGTTTGTCCAGGGACGCTAAATGAGAACAAGCGAGAGACAGCTCTTGCAACGCTCACATCCCCCTTTACGGGTAGCCCCCCCATAAACACACTCCCGCGCCCCCCCAAAAAAAGACGACAACAACACGGACTTTGTGGGCAAGTAGGTCAAAACTGGAAGTGTGTTTGGGTGATACTTTGGATGGCACCAGTTCAGGGCAGGGAAAATGGGTCCCCATAAATGGGTTGATCTCTAGGGGTCGCTTTCTCCCCTTCGCGGTGGGGATATTCATCCCAACTGCAGGATTTGGTTTTACTGACCCTGTCCGAGGCGCCGGGATTCTTGATTCAAGGCCCGCGCTGCATAGCCATCTACCTGGTTCTCGAAACGAAGCAGTTCCAGCCCATGACTTGTGTATACTGAGTTGCCCGAAGGACTTGGACATAACAGACTAGTCCTTTGGGGCTGTGACTGAAAGTGGACCAACATGGGAAAGAACCATATAATGTTGACCTACTGAGGGGCTGATCCCCTCCAATAGTAAGACTCCCCACCAAACCAGTGAAATGTTCGATGGACAAACAAGGGGTTTGTCAATTTGGGGGAAAAACAATAGACCAAAGAAAACATGACATCACACAACATACGCTACCATAGAATGACTAAACTAACACGTTTACACAACTAAGAGCAACATTCAAGCCTGCACGACCACAAAGGTTCAACTCCTGCAACGTTTGAGACTAGAAACACCAAGCTTCATCAACGCAAACGTTGAACACTCGGCCGTGGACAAAATATGGGTTGACAGAAACATTTGCTGTGCTTGGAAACAACAAGAAACATCTTTTTTGGACACACTCAATTATTTTACACCCAGACCTCCACCCGCGTCCATGTGAAAACACGGCACCTTTGTTTGGTCTCAGATCTCCTCCAATTTGGTGGTTCGATTGGTTTGGAGGTTTATATACCCTCTATGAGAACCAGGGTTCAAATCCAAATCCAAACCACCATACCAAAAATAATCAAGTCAGAATGACCTGATTTCGCGGTTGGTCTGAGTTTTCCTCAAAATAAGGGAACCTCGAAATTGGTTTTCTTGGTGTTCCCCTTTCAATCCATCCTAAAAAGACAAACCATCTCATTTGAAAGGGACACACCAAACAAATATACAATGGCACTGCTGGAGACTTGCAGGAAGTTCCGTGGGGGTCTTTGGGTTCTGAACGAACAAATGTTGGCTGCACGAAACTCTCGTCAGTGTTCAAACAAGTAAAGTGAAGGAAACACAAACCAAGCATTTAGCTACCTTCCTGCGAATGAACATGGAACATTTGAGGTGGGTAAACAACATTACGCAAAACATGGTTTGTAAACAACAAACGTTTTTTGCAGAACTCCCATCACAATTGAACAGAACAACCCATATCAAAGGCGAAACCTAACAACACAACCGACGCAAACGTGAAGAAATCACAGGCAAATTCAGCACCCAGTCCGCAAAGAAGAGTCACAACCAATGCGGGCCTCCATAATTGCGCAGGGGTTGCGGGCATCACAAAACCACATTTGGGTGTGGGTCAAACATAGGTACCCAAAACGGAGCCCTGGAAAAGGAAACAAGGACTAAAATCTGCGGTACCCTGGTGGTATAACTTGGACCCATACCCATTTTGCAATGATCAAGGTCCAAACAATACCTGTGGGCATGTAACGAGAACCCCGGCTTGATTTTGATCGGGGGGTGTCCTCTGTTAGGAATCCAGATCACTTATGTGGGTGCCCCCCCCCCATTTATAGGATGGGTTTATGCGAAAATTTCTCTGTCAGTGGTTGACCCCCCCCCGTGCCCCCCATTTATGGGATGGGTTTCAGTGTATCAATAGGGGGGTGTTCCCCTCCAAAAGTGGTCTGATTCCCCACTAAACCCAGGAACACCCCCCTATTAATAAACCGGTGTTCATTAATATGGGGTCAACATGATTCATCTGCATTTTCCCATCCCATTCACCTCCAGTAAAAATCCAGATCACTTCTCCGGGGCCCGACCTCCCCCCAAACCAACCACCCCACCCACCCCATTTAAGTTTCGGATGGGTCTGGGGTTCGGAGCCCTTCCCCTCCGAAACGGTTTTTTTCCTATCGGGTGCCGGACACAATCCAAGAGGTAGCTCACGGAGTACCACAAGGCGAAGGTCTGGCCGTCGGAGGCCTGCACCGCCCAGTAGAGCGTGAGGATTCGCCCGTAATCCAGAATGTTGGCGACATAGAAGAGCTCCTCCCATGGGAACCCAGCAGCCCAGAAGGGCGGGGCAAAACTTGCAACGCTGCGAGGACTCAGGAAGGTACTCCGCCCCAGGGATCAAAGGAAATTCGTACATGACTTCAATGATTCCCATGGATTCACTTTGAACCGCTCAAGAGGGCTTTCCCTTTCAGGGACCCAGAAATCAAAGTGAGATCCCAAATCAGGGGGCAACCCAGCGGGTCGACCGCTGGGGTGAAGAGCTCCGAAAGGTTTTCTCTCCGAACCCCGAGCGCTGGAAAGGTTGGGCAACTTGGCGCCTTCTGATTCGTTGGGTTACCTCTTCCCTGTCAAACAACTTCCACCCCTTTTTCCAGCCCCTGGGCTCCTTCAGGTGCATCACCAAAAGACCAGTCCTGTGCCACTGTGTCCGGTGGAAGACCTTCTTCAAAAAGCTTGAGCCAATCGCTCTCGCTGCGCGAGACAAAAAAAGAAAAGAAAAGCCACTGAAGCGGCAATTTCGCGAACGCGGGCAGGGTCATGGCCACGAGTTGTACTGGTTGGAACGGCCCGCAAACAAGTATTGGCCCCCGCAAAAGGGGTAAACGGAAAAATATATATATATATATATATTCAGGTGTTGCCTCATATGTGGCCCAATAAACTTGTTTGGGTTTGGAGTCCCCGCAAAAACGGCCGGTGGAGTCCACGGTTGAAAAGTTGAAAGCGACAACCAGATGAACAAATGCTGGACATAGCCCGTACGTGGCAATCTCAGGGCTCCAAACAATCATCCACTTGCCCGAGCATGTCTTCGACTTTGGTGCATATGTGAGTGTCATTTTGTTTGTAAGGCTCCCTCTCCATTTTCTGGTTGTTTGAAGGAAAGCCAAAAGAAAAACCGAAATCCTTTTTTGTTGGGGGGGAGGGGCGGTTGAACCCAAAAGAAACCATGATTACGCGTGAAAAATGTTCATGATTCTTCAGCGTAGTAAATACTTTTTTAAATGGTTCCCACATTTTTTAGTGACGAATCCACAAGGTTTTTGTGTTTGCCAGTGGCAATCATTAGGACAAAATGTCTATTTGGTATTGTAACCGTTCAAATTCATGGATGGACGGAATCCAGGTTATTTTGCACCACCTAAGAAACCTGGAATGATGATTCCCCTGTAAATTCCAACAAACGTTATGGCTTCCACCATGGTTTCATTTCGTGGTGCGAAATGGACTTCTTCCATCCAAAGCAGGGATTTGTCTCTAAATGGAACCCACGCAGAAAGGTGCACAGAGAGTTGTCCGTTTGGTTTCCTCCAACCAGCTCCAACAATGCTAAAAGCAGGCCAGCCGGATTGTGATTGAAGGACAGTCCCATAAATGGGACGCCCCCCCCTACTATTTCAAACGGCTTATTAGAATCACAGAGTTCGGATTTCCTGAGCAGTTGAGTCACATTCTGGGAACGCAAAAGGAGACAACCTGGCATTTTGATGTCCCGGTCCGATTCCCAACAAAGCGGCAGGCAGATCTGCGCCTCACAAGAGGAGATGAGCGTATTGCAGCTCACCAGATTGGATTCCACCTCCTGGCGGCAAAGAAATGGAAACACCCCCCCCTCTTGGGTTAGTGCGGCAGTTCCGCACATCCTCAAACAATACTTGGCCAAGGGGTGCACTGAAAGTCATATGTTCAGATTACGTCGCATACGTTTCGTCTACCCTAAAATACAAAATGGTACCGAAGGAGAACTCAGAATAAAGGTGGTTCACCTTGTTTACTACGACTTGTCTGCGCGGGGAAAAAGGTTGAAATCCGTACAAAAGAAAGGACACCGGATTCAGTTCACTTGATTTTTCTTAACGAATCCGCGTAATCTCTGGGGGCAAGGAAGACTTATCGACTCCTTGGTTGATCTGGCCACTGGGTTGATTCTCATCCCAGGTCCCAAAGTATCCCAAAGATACAGCGCCGCCCTTGAGCCGAAGCATGTGTCCAAACCACTTGGGAACCCATTTGCGCCCATCCTGTGGATGGACGAAATCCACTTCGCACCAAATTGAAGCCATGGGAAACCATCACGTTTGCTGGTATTTACAAAGGAATCATGATGCTAGGCCTCCAACCCGTAGCCACGTGGTTGTCTTTTTGGGAAACAAGTCCTTTTCGAGTGTGTTCAAAAGGGTCAACAATATGCAAACCTCTTGGCCCCATGTTGGGCGCAAGCCATGTTAGAATGATGGACGGAGCAAGCCTCCAAGAGCCCATATCGAGTCCAATACCAAAGGAATGTGCCTGATGTTCCTCTTTCAACATATGGGCATGTCTGTAATAAAGTCGACTTCCTATGTGCATTGCATTTTGCAATGGTGGTGTTCCTTTTATATTCCTCCTAAAACCAAATGAACACAAAACTGACATATGTCTAACAATGTCCTCTTCAATTTCTCACTTAAAAGTCGCTTGGGTTTCTCACCCTGCATCTCGGACTCTTTGGTTGGCTTGAGGGGTCGCCCTTGCCAACCATGGATGCCACTTTGAGACACTCCCATTTGTTCCATCTTCCAACCCATCTCCAGCTTCATGTTTGATGTTCAGATGCGAGCCCATGCCCATAGGATGCTTCCAAAACCCACCTGCTTCAACAGGAACTCCGGCTCCTGGCGCCCCATGCACTGCAGCACCTGCACCGCACGGCCCCAGCTCGAACCGCCGGAACCGTCCACGGGGCGGGACGCGAGGATGGCGTTGAAACCCACGGTGTCCACCTGCGGTCGCCGGGATTCCATGTGTTTCTTCGAAGCTTCCTGAGAGTTTTGTCAGAGTTTCCTGGCGTTTCCTCAAGGGTTCCTAGTGGAATCCTGGAGGTTCCTCAGGTTTAGGGGAAACCAGGAGGGAAAATGGCTCCCCAAAATTTATAGTTGCCCACATGTTGTTCTTTTCTGGGTGTTTCTTCTTGGAGGGTGCCCATGTTGAGGTTGTCTCAAAACGAAACGGAATCTGAATGTCTTTCGGGTGACCTAGAAAAACATGCGATGGTCAAAACACCTGTGGGTCATGCTCGTGATTCCTGCAATAGGACCCTTCGAATGGTTGCTTAAACGATGTGCTTGTGTGTGTTGTCCCCCCCCCCCACCTAAAACCGCTGTTTTCCTCTTGGTCTGCCTTCAGAACCACCCCCTGCCAACCCGCCGTATGTGCGATTCACAGGAACCCATATGCGCGCGCAGGGCACCACGTTCGGTTGGGTAGGGAAACCAAGAGTGAAACCAGGTCCCTTGTTGAAAGCCTGGGCTACGAGGAGGCTTGCCTCATGCCCGCCCGGGCACCATAATGGTGCATGTATGTATATATAAATAGAGATTCTATACAAATTCATAACGGGTTAAAAGCAGGGTTTCGGCGAATTGATACACACAAAGTTCAAAGGTAGTTTATGCATGCTCACGTCGTCCGAACGGTCCATATGTAGGTTCGCAGGGGTCAACAAAGCACTTGTGCAGGGCTTCAAATGACTATGCAACTATACACACATTATGCACATAAACATATGTTGGTGCCTCCAAGCTTGAAGGGGCTCAGAAGGGAATGCCAAGAATGGCTTTAGGGTTTCCTGGTGGTGTCCCTAACCAGGCTGAAAACGGCACCTCCGCATGTCACACAAATCCATATCCAACAGCGTGGTTTGGTCTCCCCGATTAGGGTGTCATTTTTGGGGGGGGTACCCCATTTCGGGATAGGTTTTAAAGGGAAACCAAAAAGGAAGACATCTATATGGGGCCCACATCCTAAACTGTAAATTGCAACCCGTCTGGCCGAACGGGCGGCTTCGATCGAAGCGCACCTCCAGGGTGTGGTCCATGGCCAGCTGCAGCAGGCGAAAGGTTTGGCGCCAATTGGATCGGCCAATGCCGCCCAGCACAGCGCCCAGGTGGAAGGCGTTGAGTTCCGATCGGCCCTGGCGCAAGGGAAGCTTGCGGCAACCCGGCTTTTGAGGGGTATAGACTTTTTTTGGGGATGGCTGGATGGATCTGGTCGGATCTGCTTGGATCCGGTTAGGTGGGATCATTGGGTTGGATGGATCTATCTGCTTTGCGAGTAATTTGGCAATTCTTTAACATGGTTTCTAGGAGGAAACTTTTGTGGGTTCGTTGATGGGTTGGTTGGTTGGCTGGTGGGGTTGGTCGGTTGGTAATCATTTCAAGTTTTGATGGCGCCGGTTGAGAGATTGGATCTATCTTGCGGGCAGGCGCAGGCCTTTTGCGATTTAGGGGTAACCAGTTGGTTGATTGGACGGACTGGTCTGTTTTGCGGGCCGCGGTCATTTTTTGAACTTTGGGCAACCCGAAGGGAAAAGGGGACCGGCCAGCCACACCACCCAACCGGCCCAAACATATATTCTATTCCTTGCAGCCATCCAAACATGAACACCACCAAACAACCAACAATAAAAAAACAACAATGAAATCAAACAGGACTAACAACTACCACACATGAACAGAACTAACCATACACGAGCCTAGCACCGCCAAAACAACTCGACCAACCCCCCCCCCCCTCATTCGCCCCATTCGCCCCATTTGCCCATTCGCCAACCGCCGGGTTGAGGGCCTGGAGGCCATGGATGACGTCGATGGCGAGCGCTGGGCGCTCCTACCATCCCCGGGCACTGGCGCGCAAAGCTGGGAAGAAAAAAGGAAGCACCGGTATGGTATATATGTTAAAATTGGGGGGACCCCTACCGAAAAGATGTGATTGTCCCTGAGGTCTTCTTTTAACCACCACCCTCAAAAAAGATAGAAAAGGGACAAAGAACAAAAAGTGCGCTTGAAAAAAGACGCAGCCGCATCAAAATGGAGCTTAGGAACCTTTTGCTTTGGTCATTTGCTTGTTGGGTCGTGTAAAACAGTCCCGACAAAGCAGAAAAATAATTGGAAACCAAAGGCCCTCAAAACCGCTCCCCAGAAAGCTGCTTAGAACAACTAGGATATGGATGGCGGGCTTTAGTTCTGTTTCTTCTTTACTAGCCCCGGCTTGGGGCTTGACCCTGGCTATGGTTGGTTGGTTGGTTGGTTGGTTGGTCGGTCGGTAGGTCGGCTGGGCAGCCGCATCCGCAGCATCCCCAGTTGCTTAGCGTCAGGGCTGCGTGTTGGGCGTGATTTGGTGGTAGTTGAGAGTCGCTCGGGCTTAACAGGCCGGACTATAGGGCTGCCTGGTGGAGTTGATTTGGTGGCAGTTGGGTGGAGTGTGCTGCAGAGCCAAAATCAGAAGAAATAAACAGACACCGAAAGCTAGAGGAACACACAGACAGACAGATGAAAGACAGATGCAAATAGATAGGTGCAGGTAGACCAATCGATAGCTGGAAATTTAGAAAGCTGAGCTGCACACGTGGGATACCTAGCTTATTGCGCAAGGTTGGAAATAGTTGGCTGGCTTTTGACTTGGTAAACAAGTAGATAGCCAGATGCGGATAGATGAACAGCTATCCAGACAGATGCATAACAAGTCAGACGGATAATGATGAGTAGCAAGCCAGACAGCTAGCTAGACAAACACACACCTGGACAAGCAGCTAGCTAAACTAAAGACAGCTAGGCAAAGACACAGCAATATGCCGACACACAGATGGCAGTTAGTCAGCTATGCAAATAGAGAGCTCCCCGAGGGATGTGCTGCAGAGACAAACAGCTCCAACAGACCGGACAGAAAAGCCTTGAGAAGTGAACAGCTGAAGAGGTAAACAGCTAGACAGACTGGACAGAGAAGCCCTGAAGAGTGGAGAGGAGAGAAAAACAAGCACAGGTGATTAAACAAGAAGGGAACGGCGAAGCAAAACGGAAGGGAGAGGACAATGAAAAGCTACAGACATGAGAAGAGACAAAGATGACGTTCAGCACTTAATTGCACAGTTGCAGTGTTTTTGAGCTTGCGCCGCATGACTTTGCCAGCTTTACTAGCTTGGCATCCGGAAATGGGTTGGTTTGGCCTCATGCGGGATGGCCAACCAAACAGACGCAAAGTCAACGTCAACCCTCCCAACCGCATCCTGGATATCATCCCTTTTCCGAGCCTAAATCAAGCCCAGGCAAACCCCAGGCCCGACTTCAGCAAGCCCAACACTCCCCCCAAACCAGCCCTCTGAGCAACTCTCCACTAGGCAGCCCTCGTCCGAGTGGGGTGCGGCCGGTTAGCCCGAGCATCTTTCAACTACCACCAAATCGCGCCCAATACGCGCAAGCAACCGGGGATGCTGCGGATGCGGCCGCCCAGCCGACCGACCGACCGACCGACCGACCGACCGACCAACCAACCAACCAACCAACCATAGCCAGCTAAGCCGGGGCTGGTTAAGAAAAAGAAAGAAAACATTGGTTCCTGTGTTCAGGGGCAAACCACCCAGCAACGATCGATTTGCGAGTTCCACCATTGCCATGGCGCAAAAACGGGAAACAAAGCGGCACGATTTTCTGGCACCCGAGGGGTCGATGTCCTGGTTCCATCCTCATCCCCCTGACCTGACCAATTTAGATGAACAAGGTCAAGCATAAGTGTGGAAACAGAGCGTACTAATCCTGGATGCCCCTTATGGCAGTGGGAACAAACTGACCAACTTGCGAACATCCATGGACCTTGTTTCAGGGACTCCGTCAACACTTGTTCAAGCGTTAATATGTTTGTTTTTTTTGAAGAAGGGAGGGGTTGATGGGGTCCCTGGTTGCTGGTAGACAAATGGTAAAATGAAACGAGCACCAAATAAACCCCAATCAGTTTATCTTGCAGGTATGGTCACAACATGACCAGTCTCTCCTGCAGATCATCATGGAACCCCTAAAACATCTCTTGACCCCCTTTTTGGGTTCCATGTCAATTTCCAGAGAATGACTTGCCACAATAGATCTTAGGTGGGGTGCAGAAACACGTTCAAATGATCTATGGTCAAAATGACTTTTTCCCTCAAGAGGACGTGGGAATGATACCAACATGCTCATATCGTTTATTTAGGCTGTGCTTTTATGGGAACCCTGGATCTAGGCAATTTGCAATAAATCTTACCTCGTCACCTCGTTGTTAAATAAGGTTTTGGAGTGTGCGCCTCGCCTCGTTAAATCCGTGGTCACCTCGTCACCTCGTTAAATCCCTGGCAGCTCGCTAGGCCTGTTTAATGCACAAGTCATGTGAAAGTCATTGCTCACTCCGCTTCTTTTTGGGGCGGGGACATGGGATCAAAAATTGATGGCTTTCGGGCTTCAGAGGGAGCCTCTGCCAGAGACAGAGAGGCTTTGCCATCTCGTGCGTTCGCAGCACCCACAAGCGCAGAAGTCTTAGTCTTTCTGCGAACATACTTGTGCTTTTTGCTCGCATCACTTCGCACCGTCCGCCCGCCGCCCCCCGCCCGCCGCCCAGCGCTTATTAACACAAGGCCCGCCCGTCCGCTGGTCGCGTCGCTGACCTTGCCCCCAGACGCCACCAAGGTGTCGCCAGACCAGAAGACCAGGCTCTTTGTCGGGAAGCAGTGCGCGGCTGCATATAGCTCGAGCACGCTTTTCCATGTGTCGTCCATTGACACCTCAGTCTGCCAGAGCTCTGCCTGTCCTGGCGCGCTGACCATCACACGCACACTCATGGCGTGAACTGAGTGCTGCCCTGCAAGCCAAAACTGCAGGCACGCATGGTGCTCTCAAGGAGGATGCGAGTTTTTGCTCATTCAAGGCCGCTGATGCTCGCTTCCGAGTTTCTTGCTCATTCAAGGCCACTGATGCTTGCTTCCGAGTTTCTTGCTCATTCAAGGCCACTGATGCTCGCTTCCGAGTTTCTTGCTCATTCAAGGCCATTGATGCTAGCTCAGTTGTGTCAAAGGCTTTGCTGAGGGGTTGCCGGAAACAATGAGACTAGGGGTGCTCTGGGAAGGCTGCGGGAAGGCTACGGGAAGGCTACGGGAAGACTATGAGAAAAAAAAAACTTTGCAGGGCCCAAAAAGTTATTTTCCCCAACAATCACCTCTGACCGTATAAAATAACTTTTCAGGCCCTGAAAAGTTTTTCCTGCTGTGGGACCCTCTCCTGCTGCATCTACGTGTGCACCTCGTTGTTCTGAATTTAGTTAAATCACCTCGCTTAAAATTGCTCCACCTCGCACCTCGGCTGACCTCGCTCTAAATTGCCTAGCCCTGGATCCCCTTTTAGTCCGGGCTCACACCACTTTTTGGAGAGAACTCCTCCCTCATAGGACGGGTTTTACTTAGATCCGGGGTCAACATGAATCCCAACTTCAAGCTATGGTTATAAAGGATCCTTACTACCTGTCAACCCCAAGTACTAGGGTCGTTTGACCATGGCACACATGGGAATGATACCAACATGATTATAAGCTTGTGTATCGGTTTTACTGCTGTAGATGGACGAAAACCTGCACCACCATCCGGGAACCCTGAAACGAATCGATTCCCTGCAAATACCAACAAGCGTTATGGTTTCATTCCCATCGTTTCATTTTGTGGTGCGACTGGATTCCTGCGATCCGCAGCATTTGTCCAATTCGACCACCCGGACCCTCAAACTTGTAATCAGAAAGAAAAAACAAGTTTTGTGCTCCAAACATCCCCAAATTCAATCACCTGGACCCGCAAACTTCTAAAAAAACAAGAAAAACACGGTCTTTGACCCAACTTTTTGGGCTGAGTTTCCGTTTCTGTAGTTTGAGGGCCACAAACGTGCGCCCTGGACTCGGCGGCTGGAATTTCGGGACTTTCTCCTGCGCCAAGCGCCCCAGGAATTTTGTGAGCTGGCGGGGACTCAGCCGCAGCGCCTGGCAGGCGCACGACCACGCGTCTTGTTTTCAGCACGCTTGGGGGGGTTGCGGGGGTTGGGGGGTTAGGGGGGTTGGGGGGCTTGGGGGGGTTGGGGGGGTTGGGGGGGTTGGGGGGCTGTGGGGGTGTGTGTGGGGGTGTGTGTGGGGGTGTGGGGGTGTGGGGGTGTGGGGGTGTGGGGGTGTGGGGGTGTGGGGTGTGGGGGTGTGGGGGTGTGGGGGTGTGGGGGTGTGGGGGTGTGGGGGTGTGGGGGTGTGGGGGTGTGGGGGTGTGGGGGTGTGGGGTGTGGGGTCTGGGGGTGTGGGGGTGTGGGGGTATCCTGGTGGTTTAATTTTGACCCATACCCAAGTGATGTTTCAGGGGGTTCGTGGTAGTCTGCAGGAGAGTCTTGTTATGTTAATCTCAAGGGTTGCTCCGAGCCTCCAAAAGCGACCACACCGCCAAGATGATTGGGTCTTGTTGGTTGTCGTTTCAATCAAGCATTTGCCTAGCCTGCCGAAGGGTTTGCGGAGCAGCGAATTGAAAGCAGCCCCAGAAACTGCCGTCTTCCTTGTTTGGCCTTGAGAAAATGTACTGTTGACCCTGGATTAGTATATGGGGGTGTTCCCCTCCAAAAGTGATAAATCCCCACTAAAACCAGGAACACGCCCATATTAAAAAACAAGGGGTTTATTTATCCGGGGTCAACATGAACACGGACCTCCCCAGGAGTTCCAGGAATCTGAGTTGCTCTTTCGTGCTGCTCCTGGGATTCTTCTCCCCGCTGCGATTCCTTCGAAGAGGGTGTCACTTTGTTTCTCCCAGGGAGCATGCACGAAAACGCCATGGCAAATGAAGGGGGGGTTCTTATTCCAAAGTCTCTGTGGGTCTCTTTGTTTTGGGACCCCTACAATGCCTGGTAGGGGTACCCGCAAAAAAGACGTACCCATGTAGACAATGCTCAGCAAGTAGAATGGTTGAGGTGTTTGCTTGCGGGCCTTAGTTCTTGGTTGGTAGAACCTTGTTTGGCGTTGAGCCCTGTATTTCTCCCTCTTGCCTAAGTGGCACAAAATGAAACCCGGCTGTGCAGTACTGGATGTTTCCAAACACAAGCACCCAAGAAACACGGTTGCCCACGGAAAGGTGCGCCGCAAAAGGGAGCGACAGTGAAAACACAAGCAAACATGCCTCAAACAGGTTCCTTAGCTTAGTCTCCAAGGAACACCATCCAAACAGCGGGTCCGTCGATTACCAAACACCCCCATATTGGACAGGGAGAGCCCAAATAAGGCCTCAGTAAGCCGTTCATAAGGCCTTATGTGGGTGCCCAAAACTCCTCCCCCTCAGGCCCCATGATAGATGTCACTTGGACACCATTTTCCATGTTTCGCTTTTCGGGCCACCAGTTGTTGAGGCCTCTACTTTTTTTCTCTCAGACCTTTTTTTGTCACCCAATCCCAGGAGCCAAGACTCAAGCTGAGTCGCACTGACCATGTGAAGCTTTGGCAAACGAGGTAGCAAACCTTCGCTTCCAAAGCTTGGCCCACACAGTTTTGGAGCAATTTTCTGGGGAGCAAACCCCAGAAAAAGGCAAAAGTTGACCCAGGATTCATAAACACTTTGGTTGAGTACGGGATCATGGCGAATCGAGCAATGTTGCCCAAGGGTCTCGATGCTAGATCTCAACACGATTCGCTACATGTCTAAAATGAGGAGTCCATAAGTTTGGGACAGTCGATTCAGCGATTTCCTATTTTGCAGGTGGACAAAGAAAGCATCCCCCTGGACTTACCCTCCCATCCACTAGCATGGAACCTGACCGGGGGGGTCGTCCTGGAAAAGCAGTTTCCTCAGGAACCCTCTGGTTCCATGTTAGTGGACAGGAGGGTAAAGTGCCAATCCCATAGGCAAGGCGGCTGGAATCATCAAGACGTTGATCCGCCTCCTGGATGAGGTCTGTGGGCATGCATCGTCTGATCGCGTCTCTCGGAGCTTTTCTCAGTAAAGACGCAGGGATTCATATGTGTCCCCTTCAAACAGCCTTCCAAAGGAAATGGCCCTTAAGTCCGGCATGAACCTGGAGCAGGAATTCTCCATGTCCAAAATTGGTTGCCCCGCCAGTTGAATGGTTGTATAAGTCCCGGGTTTCTAATTGGTCCGGAAGGCACGGGCAAGTGCCCAGACAGGGTGTCAAAAGAAGACTTGTACTTGACCCCGAGACCTCGCTTGCCAAGAGGCCCTTTTGGAACCTTGAGTCCATACGGACCAAGTCAGGCAAACCAAAAGGTTAAAGGACGAGTGAGAGAAAGCTTGATGACCCAAGCACATGTTTTCACCATGTCGTGTAGGGCACTCTGATCCTCAGCGCGGCAGGGGCAACAAAAAAATCATTCGCGTTTTAGCCATCTCTTGATGGAAGAGTGTCTTAAATAGGGAACACCGTCAACAATGGTAGGTGGACATATATCCCCATGTGCACGATGTCCACCAAATGCTCATTACAAAGGACAAACAAATGGCCTGTCGACTCTTTGCATGTGCTTATTATGGCTTGTCCAAATGTGTCTGGGTCTAAATAGGGTTTCCTGGTGATCCTTTTGGCGTCCCTTTCCTGAAAAGGGTATCCTCTTACAAACAACCCCGGCTTTTCTTCATCTGCCGGATCTGTGTTCCTGCAGCATCCGGCAGCTTGAGTCATGCGGCGGCGTCAAGCGAACACGTCTCTTTGCGCCCACAAAACTTCCCCGAGAACAAAAGCCCAGTTTATGCCGGCCAACTCGACTTCTATCGGACGAAAAGGTTGATCAAGCTTGCACGGGGTAGCTGGTTGGCCATTCCGTTCCCACAATTCTCCGAACCTTGCAACGCTCTCTCGTCGCAGCTTTCAACCAAAAACCAAGAGGGGCCATGATTCGCCCTGGTCAGAAGGACGATTAGGGCGAACTTCCTCTGGGAAAGATGCCGCCCTCCACTCCAAAAGCTCCGAAAAAACTGATCGTCTTCTGGGAATCCACGTGATATCTCTCTGAAGGGACCCAGAACTCCGAGCCGCCTAGCCGCCACTTAAGGTCTATATGGCCCAACTGAACATCTCACATGCGACTCGCAACATCTCACCTGGACGAAATCATCGACTTTGAGGAGTTCAAGGTTGAAGGGAGCACCTTGAAAACCCAAAGCTTTGGGTTCGCGAGCATTTGCAGAGTACCTTCACACACTCACTTCCTGCGTGGATGGCCAAGAAAATAACCAAACTTGTTGCTTACTGTTTACCGCTAGAATGGTCTTGCTATGAAGTTTAAAGTCCAGCACGTCCTTTGGCTGCAAAGTCCGCGACTCGCACCGAGTGATTTCAATGAGAGCGCGAAGTCTGCGCACGGCATTAGCATATTTGCTACATGCGCCAGACCCGGGGGATTTGGACGCAACTGATTGTCTCATGTTGTTCTCCAACAGCAAGACAAAACAAACTGGCCTTTGCCAGCTTTACTTGTTTGTCAAAGTCAGTCTGTGTATCTCCCCTTTCCTGACTTCCCGCTTTTCGGCGGGTCTGCATCGGTCCCCTGTTTCTGACGCATTCCCGGCTTTGCGCGGCGACCGCCCGCCGCCAGGACAGGCTCGTTAGATGTAAACAAACCGCAGGCTTTGTCCAACTTGTTGTCAAAAGTGGGAAATGGGTGTAGGGGACCGCCCCCAAAATAACATGGTGGCTTTCCTTGTGGTGTTCTTTCAAAGCCACCAAAAAGGGTAGCCTCCAAAACGACACCCCCCCAAATGTCATTTTGCGAGCGGCAACTATTGTTCTTTCTGTGGATGAAACTGTTTGACGAATACTTTCCTTGTATCTGAAACATCACAGACGGCAACGTGAGCCTCCCACTTTTTGCTACTACTTTTCCACAATTTATTGAAGCCCAAAGGGGCATCATTTAAGCTGTAGGAAACTCTTTTAAACACAATGCTTGGATTTCCCAAACACACCAAATCAACCATCCAGCTGGTTTGTCCCAGAACAGGGTCCGACACCTGCCCCACCTTTTGATGGGTCTTAAAGCTTCCCTGGGCCTTTGCTTGGTGAAAGTACTCACTCCAAACACCCTAAATTGAGAAAAATGCATGCCCCTCTTCCGTCCACAAATGGAATCCATTTATGCCCTGAACTTACAAAGGGACGATGTGTTGGGAGAAACTATGTTGACCAAAGCGACCTCCATGAGAAGTAACACGCATACGGGTATGAATGTTACTTCAAAACCTCAAAGGGTGGACATCATTCTTACCCCTTAAAACTCCAAGCCCTGGGGAAGTTAATCTTTTACAGACATATAGCCCATGTTACCCCAAACAAGTTGAACAGTTGTGTTTTTAAGAGGTAAGCATTTGGCTGGAGATTCATGTCCACCAACCGCTTTTGAGGCGGTTCTCTATTGAAACTCATCACTATCTGATCCATTCGCGACAGAAAGGCTCTCAAAGCTCCTCACGCACCTGAACCGAAACCACATGGGGAGAAGGCTAATAAAACATTTGGGAAACCACCTGGTCGCCCAGGCGGCTCTTGTTTTGACGCTCGTTTTGAGTCAGCTTAGAAAGGTGAGGCAACGGCCCGAATGGGTGGTGTCCCTTTTCTTTGCAAGCAGCCTCAAGGCAGCCTCCCATTCCCAAAGGTTCCCATGGGCAACCCTGACATTGAGTGCCCACGATCATCCAGCGGACCGTTTGGCAACCTGAAACGTACCCTTTGCTTATCCTCCATCTCAAATGCCAAGCAAATGCTTGTCACTCAGCACCAGGACCCCTAAAACAACTGGATTCGGTACTCGGTACTCTTCTCAACACTGATTCCGCTACAAATGGTATGTCCATTAAGGGAACCGTCTGTTAGTTGGTGCCCAAGGGAAAATGAAAAGGACACCCCACCAGTTGTTGTTTGTTTGTTTTTTTATGGAAAAATGGCACACCCATAAATGGAAACAACATCTGCGCGCAACTTCCCCAATGCGGCGGGGATACCGTGTGCGAGGATTCCCTATCAGGGAACACATGTCTAAACATTACATGTCCACATCACTGCTTCGCCGGTATCCTTGCAACTAAGGATTGCAGTAAATCCTGTATAAACCGATGCAACCATCTTAGCATGTCTTTGGTCCGAGTAGACCTTTCGGCTTTTCCATCAAACCTGCCTGAAGGGGCAGGGCTCTTAGTAAGTGGTTAAACTAACCATACTTATAACCCACTTGCCATGGTTGCAAGTCTCCCTTCTGTGGGTTATCCCACCATGGTTACGAACCACTTGCATGACATACCGAGTCGATCGCCCCTTTAAGTAATGTCAACCCCGGATTAATCAACCCCTGCTTGATTAATAGGGTTTTTTCCCCAACAGCTGAAAGCTTTGGGGTCTCAGCCCAGATAGGCTCCGGGATGTCCGCGGCGGCGCTGAGGTAAGGTTCCACGAGGGTTCCACGAGGGTTCCACGAGGAGGTTCTGCGAGAGCTTCAGGGTGGTGCCAGCACTAAAAAGAGCACCGCGTGCTGTTGGGGATATCACTTGAGCTTATTTCCCTTTTAGTTGGGATTCAGACCACTTTTGGAGGGAACCCCCCCGTAATAATGGGCTTCGGGTTTATTCATCCTGGGTCAACATTACAACCCTTCGTGACTCCCTTCCGTTCGGCGCACCTGGCTCACCTCCGACTTCTCTTTTGTCGGGGTCATGATTTTGCCCTGTTTCTGAGGCTTATATCAACATCAGAACATGTGGTTGCTTTTGCTTCCCTTTAACCCGCTACTTAGGGGGTGGTTGTTTCCCTTCAACCCGCTAATGTCCAAATGGGATTAGTAAAGGGGGGAGACTCATTAATCCCATTTGGACATTACTCAGGGGCTGACTTTGCTCATGGTACGAAAAACACGCGGGCCGGCCGACTTCTGAGCGCCCCGCAGCGCGCAGCGGCGGGCCCGGCGGCCACCTGCCTCGGCCGAAAGCGGCTCCGATTTCGACCGGGCCTTAGCCTCGATTCGGCTGAGTGGATGGCCTCCCAAAAAAGTAACCAAACTTTATAGATTTAACACTAAACTTGTCTTCCCAAAGTTCAAACTTTATTTGTATCACTAAAATGGTCCAAACCCAAAAAGTGACTAAAGTTCATGAACAAAGGAAGAGAGTACCTGGTTTTGAGACCGGGCCCCAACCAATTCCCGAAGTGTCTATTGGAGGGCTCGGGTCTTCCATGAAAGCCGCCGGAAAGAAGGGTCGGCATCCCTTTTTGGTTGGTTCGGCCGCATTGCTCAAGACCCCACCCCCCGCACTTGGAGCGAGTGGTTGGCTTTAAAGGGGAACCCTTCCCCAAAAGAAGGTTGAGAAAAGGGCACCACTGGGCAACTGGGGGTACTTAAGGGGGGGAGGTACTTTGGTTAGTGAGCCTGGTAAAAAAAAGCTCTTAGGATGGTAAATGCCTGGACCCCCTTGTTGACCGATTCCTTTTTTCAGCCGAAATGACCCATAAAAAAGAGGTGTAATGGCAGACAGAAAGAATCGGTTCAATTTGGTCCAGGTAGTTGTAAGTGTTGACATACGGCGAGATTCTCCCCTACCAAGTAACAGCCGGAAACCAGGACCCCCCCAGTCAGGTTCCAAGTGAATTGATGGATGACCTGGAACCCCAAATTCATCTGCCTTTGTGATTCCCAATTCTTTTGTTGGGTCAAAGGCAAAACAAAAGGCCTGGATCGCCAGTTGCGATCGCTTTTTCCCCCAAAAACCAGCAACAGTGACTCAACATAGGGGGGGCCGGGGAGAGATAGGGCGAGATACTTTACACCATGACGCTGAGCCGCAAAGGGGGCACACTGCTAGACGTGCCGGCGACAGGAGACAGGTCACCCGCCAAGACACCGTCATCCAGGAAGGTGGACAAATCCAGCTGGTTCACAAACCTGCTCCAAATTCCAACGGGTCAAGTCCTCAAACTTGCTGCCCCGAAACATCCCATGAAAC